TAATAATCTAGGTTATATCTTTTTATCATTTATTAATAAAACACAAAAATTATAAAATACAAAAAGAATACTAGTTATAGTAATATAAGCTTACTTCTAATAATAATAAAAAAATACAAACATATTTTCTTTATACTTAAATTTCAAAAATAAATAAATGATTAATATTTTGTACTTCATGATTTCTTTAGGGTTATTAGGGTAATTTTAGGATGATTTAGAGATTAATTAAAATAGTTAATTAATTATTTTAATTAAATTAGTTAGGTTATTATGAATTTTTTTCCCTTTATCTATTTAATATAATAAAAGATATCAAAAGCAAATAATGTTTCTTTTAATAATTAGGGCAATTTAAGAGGCATAGGAGATTAATTACTTAATTGGGATGATATTGGGGTTGATTAGGATAATTTAGGGATTAGTTAGAACAATTATCCAATTAGAAATAATTAAATAAAAAACAAAAAATTATATTAAAAAGTATAGAGACATTTTAATAGGTTACTTATTATAAATAGTATAAGGAATAAATAATATAAGATTAATTATGAGATATTAATTAATTTTGGAGATTAGTGTTAACTTATGTGATAATTCTAAGGGATAAATATTCGGGATAATCAAGGGATAATTTTGGGATAAAGATGAGATAAATTTTTGGGATAAATTTTTTAGGGTTTAGGGATATACAATCAGGATTTGGGGTTAAGGGATAAAACATGAGTTTTTTTAATAATATTTTGATATATATTATTATAATCAATTTATTTTTGTAAATTAAATTAATGGGATATTTTGCAATTAAATCAATGGAATAAAACCGACTTTAATCTCACCTAAACCATAAGTCCTATTCCTTTGTGCATTGAGAGATTTTTTAAAATCGAACATTTCTCCGCCCCTGATGCGTGAGAATTTTTCAAGGGATAAAAACAACCAGCACACTAATTTTTTTAACAAGAACTACAAAACTATGATCTTTCAACGAACTTGAGGGTACGTAGGCATAGAGTTGTAAACTCTAGCGAGTACAATTATAAAAAAAAATATTTTTAGGTTCTTTTCTTTGTAAATAATAAAATAATTTTGTAAATAAATAAATATTTAAATAATAGATAAATAATAAGCAAACAATCTTAAAGACACACTAAGCCTAAAATTATAGGAGGATCCCATTGAGTAAAATGGAGGTGAGGGGGGCCTAATACCTTCCACTCACTTAACGGACTCCCGAACCTAGTTTTTCACTCTTAGTTTTTAGGTTTTATCATTGTTTCCCTGTCTCTTAGGACAAATAAAGGATGATGGCGACTCTGTCATTTTGCTGACCGCGAAAATAGCAATTTCTCTTCCCTTGGTCCGAGCTTAATCAAGTCACCCAACAATGCTAATTCGATTAACCATTTCACGCCACTCCTTTGCAAGAACCGCAACCCTTCAAAACCTTCACTCGATCGAATCTGAATTGCAACATGTTGTAACCCAATATTTACCAAGATGATCTACCGTCTCATGCTACTCCTTTGCAAGAACTGTAACCCTTAAAAGCCTTCACTCGATCGAATTCAAACTTGAGTACTCTTGTCCAAAACCTTCAAATCTCCACTTTGATCTTGAAGGAAAATCCCACATTGGTTTTCTTATTTGAAATCCTCATAAGATCTCAACCCAATTTACAATACCACAAGCTAAGTTGGACCTTATCAACTTGATTCTAGATGACACCTAAACAATGAATGATTATGTGTACTTTGTTTGTGTGTATGCATAAAATGCAATTTTTCATGATTTTTGATATATAGGTCGAATTATCAAAGTCATGTGTCGACTTATACATGTTATGTGCCGACCTGTATAGCCAACACATGAAATAGAAGCTACAAGCTTCAATATTGCAACACATGTACCGGCCTATGCATCATATGTGTCGACTTGTAGTTGAAAACAATTCTTCTATAGGTCGACCTATAATCGGATGTGTCTACTTGTAGAATGTTTTTCACACAAAAAACAAATTTTTGATGCATACAAATCTTTTCTTGATGCATGAATCTTTTCTAAACGATTTTCAAACATGTTAACATGCTTCTTAATGCTAAAATGCACAATGCACAATTAGAATCAGATGGTATCATCCAATGTACACAAACGCTAAAGTTTCCTAGTTTTGACATCATGCAAAATACATATAAAGGAAAATTTGCATTCACATTGCTAACAACCATCATAGAACCTGGCTTTACAGGTTTGGATGCCTGGAAGCGTGTGGTTAACCTCTTCTAGGATAATCAGAACGCACATGTTTTCACACGTGAGCAGGAATTCTATAGGGTTTGTGTAGAAACTTCTTCAAATGTATATGCTTATTGTCAATATTGAAAGAAGCTTTTTGACAAATTACGGGATGTCGGTGCTCTTGTGAAAAATCACTGCTTGACCCTTTAACTCATCTTTGACCTTACTGATGCCTACTGTGGTGTTTGCACCTTGATTCGACAGAGCATTCTGCTCCCCTCCTTTCATTAGGAAAGATATATGCTCACATTATAAGCAGTCGATTTAGCTAAGATAACGCCCACTGAGTCTCCTGCTGCTTATCTTACCATCTAATAACATCCTTCTGACGACTCATCACAGATAACCAACTATCACTTTGGCAACCGCTCATGTCCTCACAACAATCAAAATCGGGATGGAAATCATTGTAACAAGGTGGTCCTCGCGGTAGAAATGCAATGAGTTCTCCTCCTTAGCACCAACAACAATCACAATAATAGTATCCCTCTTACTAGTAGTGTGGTTGAACTCCACCATCGTGGCCATGCCTCTGTGCCCATATCCTACTTCTTAGTGAAATCTCCCTTCTACTCCTTGATCAACAGGGCATTCTGAGCTAGTGTCTCCACATTTATAGTACCACGACTTCACCAACACCCATTAACATCGCAACTGTTATGCACACCATGTCTCTTATTCCCCCCAGATAACACATGGTACATGGACACAAATTCCTTTTCCCACATAGCGGCGTCACAGGGTAATCTCTCGTCTTATTATATTTTGGGTCACTTAAATTAGAAACTGTTTGTTGGTAGATGATAAGGCATTCCAATTCAGAGCTCTGAACACATAACCCTAACCACCTCACATAAACACAAGCCTTTGAACCTTACCCATGAGATGTGATAACCTTTGGCGATTTCTATCCAGTTACCACTTCCTACCCGTTTTCCAGTCTTGCTTACAATCTTTGGCACAGTCGTCTCGGACATCCTAGTTCTTCAGATTTGTAATCTCTTCATAGCAATAAGTTCATTAATTATAAACCTTTGAATTCTAGGACAGTTTGTGCTTCTTGTGTGTTTGACAAACGTGTTATGTTGTCTTTTGCTTCCTCCAGTAATGCTACTATGATGCCCTTCGATGTTTTACATAGTAATTTATGGACATCCCCGGTTTTGAGTTCAACTGGTCATCGCTATTACGTTTTATTTTTGGATGATTTTTTTGATTTTCCGTAGAAGTTTCCTCTAACCAATAAATCTCAAATTTTTTAAAATGTTCACTTCTCTCTCAAATCAAATTCGCACACAATTTTCTCAAAATGTCAAATGTTTTCAATGTGAAATGGGCAATAATATGATAATACATCTTTCCATAATTATTGTGCTGCTAATGGTCTCATTTTTCGTTTCTCTTACCCTCACACTTCATCACAAAATGGCAAGACAGAATAAAAAATGCACACTATTAACAACATGATTTGCACTCTTCTCGTTCATGCATGCGTTCCTCCCTCATTTTGGAATCAAGTGCTTCAAATATCTCCTACCTAACTTCTATATCATCGTGATCCCTCTTACACACATCTTCGCGTCTTTGGTTATGTTTGTTATCTGTTGTTTCCCTCTACTACGGAGATTGTATTATATACATAGAAATTTGCATTTAATTACATGTTATAGTCGATGTGAGACTTATATATAAATATTCTTTAACAAATAAATACAGATGCTATTATTGAGAATGACATGCTTTCTCTTTTATATAGTAAAAATGGTTAAAACCGTCTACGAGAAAGATGACGTGTTGTGCAATCATTTGTTTAGACGGTTGATAGTATTTAATGCGCATAGATATCTACTTCAGGCGAGAATTGAGAATACTTATTCTCCACCTTTGCTTTGTATTTGGGCCTTCGTTTTAGATTTTGTGAGCGGCCCATACCAAATAATTTTTATAATAGCTTCAAATTAGTTAAAGTTTAATATGTCAATAATATATTTACTATGTTATTCATTGAAGATTTTTTTTAAGAATCTACTTTATGTTTAGTCATATTTTGGTAACTCATGCATATTATATATGCTAATGATAAATTTCTTTTTTGTATTAATGTTGATATGGTATCTTATTATACTTCTATAAATTTTATGATACTCACTGACACAAGTTCTTTCAATTGAGAGAAAAAAAAAAGAACCAATTTATTCTTCTATAAACTTCTTCTAGATATTATCATCAAAAATACTTTTTCAAGGTAATACACAACTATACATTCCTAAAAATATTTTTAGATTGTAATTTATCGCATAAACTTCTTATTAAAAAAAATTATTTTATATTTAATCTATTTTTTTCATAAAATTTATAGACTAATTCTAACTCATTTTTTGCACCTGTCACATGAATGTTTTTGGTGTTTGATGGAATGAATGTCAGCAACAAAGGATAACAATTTTCTCTGGTGTCATCTCTTATTGTGCCTTTGTCCCTAACATAACATGTTAATCTTCAAATATACATATGCTTCTACATTCCAAACACAAATTAGGAACAAGTGTAATGTTCCTAGTGTTCCATATCAACTCTGTCATTGATATTAACACTTATATACATTAGCAAATAAAACTGCACTTAATTTTATGTTACAAATTACCCTACATGATATTTGTACTAGTGTAGTGTGGTTAGCTCAGTTTTCAGCTTTCAGAGTCTTATTTTCCAACACAGTTTGCATCATCATTGTCAATGACATTGTAGTATAGAGAAGAAATTTTGCCATCAAAATTGGAAACTACTTGGTGAGTTGATAGGCCGCAATAGCGTTTCCCGAGACGTGCAATGAAGATATCTACAATCTTCTTGAACATGGAATCTTCTTGTATTAGTGGTTGCTCTATAAACTCAACCAGTGGCATCCATTTTGCTGCTTCAATTTCATGATCATCCACAGTGATACTAGATGACAGTGGTCTTAGCATGCAGATGAAGAACAAATCTGATTTCTCAAATGCCACATTATGGACATGCCTATAATTTATCATCATAAAGTTCATCAGAATTCAAAACTATAATATGTAGCATTCCATAACATACTAGATTCTAATTAGGTAATTAGATCTTATGTCACTTCTGATCGAAGATGTGTCAGATATCTGACATGTATACGGCACTGATACCTGTGATTACATATTTAAGTTTCTTGATGACATGATCAGATATGTGACATATGTTAGCGTTGACACTAACATGACGCTAATACCTGTGATTACATATTTAAGTTTCTTGATGACATGATTGGTGCTGTTACCTGAATGCTATGACTTCAATAAAATCTGTATCAATCTGCACAAGATCAAAAGAAAGTCTTCATTTTAAGCAATTGAAACTTGTCACAACCTCATGAGTAAGTTTTAAAAAAAAACACAAGATGAATTGTTTCTCAATGTTACATGAAACTTACCCCGGTTTCTTCCTTCACTTCTCTTACAGCTCCAGTATATATCTCCTCTGCCTGAAATGATGAACATTGATGGTATTCAACTTCTAACACTATCTCAAATCTAGCTTTTTACTCGCTACGGTTTACGGATACATACCTCATGAATGAAACCAGTTGGTATTTTCCAAAGGCCAAGAGTTGCAGGAGAACAATGCTTCTCTTGCACCACAAGTACCTTTACAAATTCATTACCAGAAATTACACAAACTTTAGAGCTTGCACGAATCAAAGCGACAAGAACTGTCTCGAAATCATCTACAAGAAATGCAAAAAAATCATACTTCATTGTTATCATTGATGACAAATCCTCCAATTCCAACTTGATGCGAAGCATTTGCCGGAAGCATGCAAGGTCCATCAGGAATCCAGTAAGTTAACATCACATAACCCGGCTCGGCATGATGGTATTCAAATCCTTCCTATAACCAAAGTCAGTTACTCATACATTCAACATCTCTTAAGCTGTTTTTTTAAGTTATTCCGAACAACTTTCTCTAAAACAAACTCAAATAAGTCGATCCAAACAGTCTCGTAATACATTTAGGAAGCTAAATTACCTTGACAGCAATTGGAACAAGATCAGATTTCTCTAAAGGCAACTTAAGCCAAATCCCTTTCTTTCCCTACAAAATGTAAGATTTTCAATAATCTATAAGATCCTTATTTAAAAGAGATGATAATAATAATAATAAACATGAATTGATGAATTTACCAATTTTCTCCAATGAGAAAGAGACAAACAAAGCATAGACGCAAAAGCATATGAATTTTGTGGTAACCTATTTGGATCAATGACAACCCCTCCATACTCATCATCAAAAGCATCAAGTATAAGATTTCTATAATACAATCTTTCAGTTGAGCCATTTACTCCATCAACACTATCAAAACTTGTTGTTACAGCTGCAACATAAGCCTCATCTGAAGCACTATAACTCTTGAGAAACAACCCTGAAATCAAACATGAAAAAGACCAAACGTCATAAAAAAAACACACAGACAACAAAAAAAAAGAATCTAATTGGGCTGTTGTTACCTCTGCTGCAGTTGAATTGGTTAGAGTATCTAACTCCAAGTTTCTGTCTAAAATTGGAGAACAAAGTGGTAGAAAATTTTTGAATCTCAAATGTGGACATAGAAGAATTGTAAGAGAAAGATTTCAGCTCCATCTTAATCACTGTTCAGAATCCAAATCTCACCAATTACACAAACTGACACTGTCCAATGAGAATATAAAACACAGAATCTTCACTAAAATCAAGGAAACCAACCTTAGCATACATCGAAACTATACATGTAAACTAAAGAAACATCATCTTCGTAGTGTATAGTACATGTGTTTCACATATAGTATAATAACACTATGATTTTGAGTTAAGAAGGTTTAGAATCTAAATAGATAGACACAAACAAATGAAATAATAGGTGATAATGCTATGTGGATGACACGTAGGGACATTATTATATAAAAAATCACGAGTAATGGCAAAGTTTGGTTTGTAGGAAATTACTTTTAAGCTTGTGGTTCATAATGGACGATTGGTGAACATGAAAAAATATCATCCGGAAGATACTTAGAGAAAAATGCCAAATTGGAAAATAAATAAAATGAAGAAAACGAGGGAAGTTGTGTGTATAATTAATAAATATTTGCACTAGAAAATGAAAATTATTTAGAGATTTTTGAGTTTTTTCCGCAAGTTGAACAAAAATTTGGTGAATTGTCAAATCAATTTGGGAAATCATTTATTTGATAAAATAAAACAAGCACTTTTCTTTCTTTTTTTTCAAAGAAAAACCGATTTGATCTATCAATGAAATCATTTGCTTAGCTTTTTACTTTTGTTAAAGGTATCTTCCTAATTTCATAACAAATCTATGACACATTTTTAGGGTTGTTAATTTCTTGGTAAATTTACAATGTCCATAACCATAAACTTAGGGGATCTTAGTCAGATTGCACTAACTTAATTTATGACTATTAATTTTTTGAGGCTAGTACTATTTTTAAATGGTTAGTATATTACAACTAGTTACCACTCACTTGGGAGGAACGTTATCCTAAGGTGAGATGAGGGTACATGTTCACAACAAGAAGGATATACCCTTCATCAAAATTTGTGAAATCTTTGGTGTGGAGTGCGTGGAAACCAACTATAAGGACAAATGCGATCAGCATTTGCATTTAACAATTTTTTTCACATGTAGTATCTAATCTTGTATAGGATAAATACAATCAACATTTGCACTTAGGTTTTTTAAGAGTGAGAATTGAAGGATTTAAATTGAATTTAATAGATACAAATTATAGCATATTGTTTAATCTAATAATAATCAAGAATAATTAAATTGGTGTACCTTATAAGATTGAAGAGACGGAAGCTTGTGAGTATGAGAGAATTACTACCCTAATTGCCGTTTAGGATTTTCAGAGTAGTTTAGTGGTCTAATGGGGAGACACTTAAATAGTTAAATGGCTGAGGGCAAAGACCTCTCATTGGGCTTAACTGAATGATCCAACCCATTACGGTCCATTCAGGCATAAAACTCAATCAAACAATTCATCTATTTAGTGTTTAATAACAATAGACCATAATATAATTAATTAATAATTAATTATGTCAATACATATTTGATTAATTAAATAATTAATCTAACAAGAATTGGATGACAAAATTATGCTATATACAATGTCTAAGAATGATATGGTCAAAAATTAAAAAATTTAGTGACAATGTTTTCAATTTCAAGTTATCACCTAATCTCATTTTGTAAATTTGTATTGTAGTTTTTTTACTTGGAATTTAATTTGTAATGATTGATATATGATTTTAAAATGGTTAGAGGTTCTTTTGACTCTTTTTAAGAAGATGTGATTGTTGGAGAAATTTTTAAAATATTAAATTGATAAATAATAATGATGTAATTAATTTTATGGATTATTTGTTAAATTATCATTAGTAAATATGGTCAAAAGTTGCAAATACTTGGAATAAAATTAGAGACTTTATAATGATTGAGTGTGTGGTCATAAGGTGTCACCACTAGACTAACACAACTTTTCATAAAAATGTTTGTTGTTATTGATATATAATGGTTTGCGAATGGCCATGTTGAAACCATTGAAGCATTATTTCTCATTACCAACTGAAACAAATTTTTCTATAAATAGAGATACTTGTTAGAAATAAAATACACAAAAATTATTTGTTTCAAGTGCCAAAAATTATATCTAAGTCATTCTTTTATTTATTTTAGTGCACGAGAATAAATGAAGAAATTTTATCCAGTAAAATATCATTAATCGATATGTTTAATGTAGATGTGCGATTCATGTTAAGATTTTCAAAGTATCCTGAAGCGGATTCGCCGGTAACCCTTTTGCATTCAATTTGTATAAATTGGTGGGGGCGAATCGAATCTAAAGTTTAGTGTAAACACACGCTTTGAAATTTATTTTGTGCAACTTTCAACATAACATCTTCATCTTCTTCTTATTCAAGTTTTGCAGCAGACCCCTAACACAAGATCTAACAATCTTTAGGTTCGATTTTCAATTTTGATCCATACATTATTTATGATTAGTATTAAATGATGCAACTTTAAAGAAGATGATAACAACTTTCAATAATGGTAAAATGTACGCATTTAGTTTATATAATTTTTAAAATTATGGAATTTTGATCTATGGATCTTTTTGTTTGTGGTTAATTTTTTACTACAACTTTCATGGAGAAATGAACACTCATGTTTTTTTATTCGTCAAAATGGTGAAAGGTACCTAATTATATTAAATAAATATATTTTATATATAATGTTTTAAATCTATGTAAAATATGTTGAAAATAATATTTATTTATGTTAAGTTTAACATGTTGAATAAATTTATATATGCATAATTTATATATTATTCAAGTATGTGAATTTGAATAATTAAGAATATGTTTGATTTATGGTGTATACTTGAATATAAAATACATGTTAAAAATTATTCTTGGTGCAAATAATTTTTTTTAATTAATAATACATTAATCTTGGATAAAATTATTTGGTAGAAAATAAAATCATGAATTTGAATGTATGATGCATGCATTGGTAACATAAAATGTTGGAAATATCAAGAACATGTATAAATTGTATATTTTTATTTATGCAAGAATTTATCGTATTTAAAATGATTTATCCATATTATATGTGTATCATAATATGCTAATATTATTTCTTGTTCATCTTGATATTAAAAGTAATTTCGGTATATTTTAGATAACTGTAAGTTGACAAATAGTTATGGAGAAAAATTATAGAAAATATTAATGATGTGAATTCATTGTTTACTTTGTATTATGATTTTTATTTGGATGTATCATAGAATATTGTTAAATATAAAACATGAATTTATCACATAAAATTTGTTATGCATATTAGTTATGCAAGAAAATTGTTTATTTTAAAAGAATAGAAATGAATTCTATGGTGGTGTATTTATATGAAGTTTATGAATTACATGTTTGAATTCACTTCATAGAATAAAAGTTAGTCATGACAAATTTGTTTGATTGTGGTTGTCGACTGCTATAAATGTTTAATGCATTAAATATATTTCGCATATATTTAAGTGGAAGTAAAACTTCAAATTAAAAAAGTTAGTAAATAAAGAATGATATAAAATTTGTGTATATGACAAAATGAAGGACAAAAGTCTCATGATTATAATTTATCGAAACTATCAAGAATATAAAACATATGTTGTATATGATAATTGTACTAATATGACAAAAGTGTCATGATTTGATGATAGAGGGTAAATACTATCAAGAGTACATAAAGTTATCATATGCATGACTAGTTAAAAAATTGAATATTCGAAATTTATTAAAGTTTAGAAAATCTTGCAATTCTTTGATGAAAGGATTGACAAAGATATGATTTCTTTGGATATAATTGAATACAATCAAGACGTCATTATGGATGGGGAATAAGCCTGTATCTAATTAATCATCAATAGTGGAAACTCAACTCACACTTGATTAATGTTAAGTCTTGAGTTCAATGATGAAAGTACACTATTAGAGTGATTGAAATACTTAATGATATATACATCCCAAGAGGTAAAAGTACTTGGACCATAAGAATAAGTGTGGTAGGATGAGGTTTTTCTCTTAATAGACATATAACATATGTTTGCTGGAATGCATAATTATGAGTGCATTTTTTATATAGTCTACCTATATGAGAATGAAGTGGTGCCGCTTCATAGAGTTCAAGGACTTGACTCTTAAATTCTCATGAAAAGGATATGAGACACAAGACCTTATTAAATGTGTCATATTAATAATTCGATCGATGGTACCGAAATTTCATGTGTGAGCTATACACGCTTGTTCTAATGAATAATTGGTTCAAAGCTTGTCTATCAATTTATTCGGGGATGAGTGAAAACTTAACTTACTAAGTATTGGTTCAAATCGTAAGATACCTTTATTTGAAACCATGAAATTTCCTGAATAATGAAATTTAGATATATTTTGAAAATGGCGGGGGATTGTTGGAGAAATTTCCAAAATATTAAATTTGTTGTGAATCGGATACCTTAAAACTAAGTATAAACATTTTCTTAATGATCAAGAAACACACAAGGGTTAGGGTTAATAAAGAAGAAAACAACTAGGGTTGATTATTAAACTACTATTCTTTCCTTTCTCTTAGAACAAGATTACAAGTATACAAGAATAACAAAATAACCCCTCTCTCTCTCTCTTGAAATTAAGATTTTATCTTCCTATTTTTCCATATGACAAGACTGAGAAACTAGTATCCTATTTATAAGAAAAATAACACACTAACCTAATGGGATTTTTAACAATTACCCATTACAAGTTAACTTAGGGTACAAGCTAACTTAAACAATCGGGCTTACAAGAAAGACCCAATTCAACATGCTAACAACCCTAGCAATATTGACTAATGCATGTTAGAACAAACTTCGACTACAACACGCATAACTCGCGAACAGACTTCGACCATACTAGAGTTTGATCCAACATCTCACAAATCTCCACCTTGGATCTAACTCCATAACATCAAGAAATTAGCTTTCTTCATGCAGCTTTATTAACTGCATATAGTGGAAAATCTTGCAATTGGGCAACGTCTTGGTGATTATATCAAC